TCTGTATTTATTCACTTCTAATAATATATTTTATATTAATGCAATCTTCTTTATTCCATTGATGTAGGCCCTACACTGAAAAAGAAAAAAAAAACATACTGTATACGAGTTTGACAGAAAATAAAAATCTAACAATATATAACAATTCAAATTCTCATTTTCATTTTATGTAGAATAGGTTTATTACCGTTCACGTGGCAGTATATAACGGCCTATCTTGATTGATGATATGAAACACAGACATGAAGGTCATGGTTGAATGCGTTTCAGCTGACACGTCAATGCGTTACAGATCCACAATTAACGCATTACATTACCGAGAGACGATGGGAAAAACCAACAAATCAAAATCAAGATACATCGATTTTTAACGGAATTCGGATAATTACCGTACTAAAAGTTGGTTTCTATTGATTATTAAGTAGTTTTCTACTCTCGTGTGGTAATATTTTTATCATTTTTGCACCCGTGTGGTCGCGAATGGTCCCGTGTGGTATTTAGTAGGACCCCTTAGTTTCGTACCACACACATGGTGTGACACTCTTCAGATAAAATTGCCTAATGACTAAAAAACATAGAAATACAATTGATTGAGATAAGCTGAGCATGTTACAAAATTTCTTAGAAGAAATTTGTTGGCATGCCTGCATGCTGAAACGAGTTCATTACGTTTATTTAGTGTAGCTATTTCCGGTTTGCAAATTATAAAATATTTTCCCCATATGCACAGGTTGCATCTTTTTGATGATGGGTTATATGGTTTAGCTTGTTTGAGAATGTTCCATTTAATATTAAGGTCCATATTTTTTTCTTTTAGTTCCCATATGTACTTGCTTAGTTCTGTGTTAAGTCTCTTGGATTTGTTCCTGAAGGAGGCTTTGTGGTTATTGTATCTTGTCTTAAATGCGTTTTCTGTGAGTCCTACGTATGTTTGGTTTGGTTTGTTATTAGTTGTAACCGTTGCCTGGTAGATAACACATTCTTTGAGGCAGTGGCCTCCTGCAGTTGCATCCTTTGTTGGTTTGCTGATTTGTTTTCTTGTTTATGGTTGCTTTGGCCATCAATGGTCTGTTTAAGGTTTCCCGTGCAACTGTAACTAATTTTGACAGTGTTTCGATTAAACAATTTATGTAGTGTGTGATTTTGTGGGAATGCTTGATCTAAAGCCTCGAGGAAAGTTTTCCCGACATTGGTGGCAACACTCGTGCTGTACGGTGGGTTATACCAAATTATGTTACGTTTGCGGGATTGGCTGTGCTTCTCGTTTTTGGGTTCTTGCGGTGGTGAAACTTTGAGCTTATAATCATATCCGCTTTTATTGAGGGCCTGTTGGTAAAGTGGTGCTGCGTCATTGAATGATTGCTCGTCGTACGAAATTTCGGATAGGCGTCTATTTATTGATTCTGGGATATTTTTGAGAATTCCTGGTGGGTGATTGGATTTGCTGTGGACGTATAGCGGCGTGTTGTTGGGTTTTGAATATGGCATATACTTTCCGGAATTTAAGTTCAATGTGACATCAAGGAAGTCTACTACTCTTTTATTGGCTTCGATTGTGATTTTTAGGACGTGATTTTTGAATATGTTGCACAGATCTTTCTTGATTATTTCTACCTGGCGAGGTGTGGCATTAGTAACTCCTAAAACATCATCTCTGTAAAGACCGAAGTTGCTACCGTGTTTTTTTCTGTGATTTTATGCAGAAGAAAGGAACCTACTAATTCGTATGTCTCGGCTCCGTCATAGCTGCCCATAGTGATGTCGAATAGTGTGGTTGATGTTTTTTTACCCCACGCTTCGTCTGAGTTGTACAAGCAGGACCTTTTAGTATGGAAAATTATTTCACGTTCTTCTTCGGTGATATTGTCGTGTCGGGATGCAAAGTCTAATGCATCATTCAGTAGATTCATAGAATAGATGGATAAAATTCGACCACGTCAAAAGCGATGAACGAGTACTGATCCTTGATGTTATTGAACCATTGTAAGACAGTGGTAGTGTTTTTCCATTGGTTTAAGTTTGAATTTGTAATGATTTTCCCATTTATCCTGTCTAATATCTGCTTGCTAATTTTTCCAATCTCAGATTTAGCTGGATTGATTAATCGGCAAGTGGGGTTGTTAGCGAAGTTGGGTTTATGATCTTTGAGGGTAATGAATGCCTCGGTTTTTGCTGTGGTGTTGATTTTGGCATCAAGGCCTAGCTTATGTGCGATGCTTTTGGCGTCGCGTTCGAT